TCCTCTGGACTGGCAAAAGTCCACAGATCAGCCCACCTTTCTCTTCACCTTCTCCGTTTGTTCCCCTGCTACCATGCACAGTCCTGTGTGCAGTCCCTGGCTAGCAGGGTGATTTTTAAGTTAAGTCTTAGTTCCTACCACAACTCGGGAATCTTCAAGCTGTCTGTTCCATCAGGATTGCTGCCAGACCACAGCTCCTTCTGTCTCCTTTTTTGGTATTTTCACACAAATTCTTCTGCTAGTTGGGATTTAGTCCACTTATATATCCTTCCCTCCAAGGCTCAGGGTCCAGGATTATCTTCTGTGTCTGTGTTAATTGGTTTCCCTTTTCTTTGTTGGAGAGGGTCTTTGCAGTCTTTCTGCCTAGTCTGCCATCTTGCTGGAACCTCCCTTCCTTGACTTTTTACAGGATTGCACTCATACAATATTTGTCCTTCTGTGATTGACTTATTTCACTTAGCAAAATCTCCTCCAGATTCATCAATGTTGTGAGATGATTCACATATTCTTCACTGTTCTTCAATGTAGCACAGCATTCCATGGTGTGAATGTACCATAATTTGTTTATCCATTCATCCGTTAACGTCTGTTCGTGTCCTGTCTCTGACTTCTTTAGGTTATGTTCCTAGTAATGGAATTACTGGGTCAAATGGTATTTCTATTTTCAGTTTTTTAAGGAAACTCCATACCATTTGCCACAATGGTTGTACCATTTTACAGGCCCATCAGCAGTGTATGAGAGTTCCAATCTCTCCGCAAACTCACCAGCATTTATTTTCTGTCTTGTTGAACTTTGCTATTATTGCTGGGGTGAGATGATATCTCATCATTGTTTTGATTTGCATCTCTCTAATGGCTTATGATCGTGAGCAATTCCTCATGTGTTTGTTGGCTTCAAACATATCGTCTTTAGTGAAGTATCTGTTCCTGTCCCTTGCCCATTTCTGAATTGGAATATTTGTCTTTTTGGCATTGAGGCATTGAAGTTTTCTATAAAGAGTGGAGATAAGTCCTTTCTCAGATATGTCATGTTGTTGTTATCTTGCCATCTCGTTGGACCTGACTCATAGTGAATCCTCCTTGGGTTTCCAAGGTGGTATCACTATGGAAGTTGATTGCCCAACCTTCCTTCTGGGGAGTGACTGGTAGGTTTGAACTGCCAGCCTTCTGGTTAGCAGTCAAGTGCCTTAACCACTACACTACCAGAGCTCCTTTTTTTTTTTTTTTTTGGTCCTGAATCTCTTGGGTTTTCTATGTATAGGATCATGTCATCTGCAAATGGAGGTAGCTTTACTTCCTCTTTGCTGATTTGGATGCCTTTTATTTCTGTTTCTTGCCTCACTGCCCTGGCTAGGACTTCCAATACCATGTTAAATTGAAGTGGGGATAAAGGCTATCTTCTGCTTTGTGTGGGAGAGTGCATAAGCCCTTAGAGGGTCCTGCTGGGTTCACCAGAGTGGTTTAAAGATGAGATAATCTATTCATTCTTAGTCCTCATATGTTCATAAAGTGGGACGATGAAGACAAGTGACTCAATAAAACAGTCCAGCTCCTTGCCTGTGAAACTTCCACTCTAACAGGAGACATGATATGTATATGCTGTAATTTTCATTTGTCGTTAGAAATTGCCTCCCTATGTGTAAAAATTGAAAATTTGAACTTTTAAGAAGAAAACTGACTTTATTCTAGACTTTGATGTATGTTTGTCAAAGAACCCTGGCATGCCAATAGCATTCTATTCTTTTGTAAGTCTAGGGAAACTGGCTTTCTTTTTTCTAATACAGTTGACTGCATTAGAAAGTAAAAATCAGAATCATGCATTCGTGGGTACCAATCTAAAGTGATCATTTGTGTGTTAAGAGTCTAGTCAGAGGCAGGGTCCCACTGTGGAAGTAGGGAACCATGGCAGATGATGACCTCATTTTGTGAACAGAGGAAAATGGAATAGGTTGGAATTAATGAGCGATGAGGCACCTTTATACCCAGGTGGAGGGGGTGCATGGGATAATTTGTCCGTCTATATTAGATGTTTCATTTATCTTCTGATTAGGAAATCCAGAGTTGATTCCTGGGGAAGTCTGCACTGACGACATCTTTGTCCTGAAGCCATGGAAATGTCTTCTCTCCACTGCAGAGGGAAGAGTCAGCTGGCTGTCTCTCCAAATCTCAGCCTCTCACACCTCCCGGCAGCTGGTGCTGAAATGCACCGTGTCCCATCCCTGGCTGCCAAGGCCTGGCCACCGTGCCAGTACCTTCAAGACTGGGATGGAGATTTGGTGCTTGCTGTGACCCGACACCTCACTCCTGCAGAGAAACATCCTTCGATTTGGCAACGCTGTCAGGTTGGCGCAGGGCTCCTCAACCTGGGGAACACCTGCTACATGAATGCGGCACTGCAGTGTCTTACCTACACGCCACCACTGGCCAACGTCATGCTGTCCTGGGAGCAGTCTCCAAGCTGTGGGCCCCAGGGCCTCTGCATGCTGTGTGCAATGCAGGACCATATCAGCCGGGCCCTCCATCATCCTGGCCACGTCCTGCAGCCCTCGGCCGCCCTGGTTGGAGACTTCCACAGACATCAGCAGGAAGATGCCCATGAGTTTCTGATGTCTACTCTGGATGCCATGCACAGAGCCTGCCTGCGTGGGCATGGGCCCTTCCACAGCTGCTCCAAAGACACCACCCTGATCCGTCAAATCTTTGGTGGCTACTGGAGATCGCGAGTCCAATGTCTCCGTTGCCAGCGAGTGTCAGACACCTTTGATCCTTACCTGGACATCACTTTGGATATCCAGGCTGCAGAAAGTGTGAGCCAAGCTTTGGAACAGTTGGTCACAACTGAAGAGCTGGATGGTGACAACTCCTATCATTGTGGAATTTGTCACAGGAAGGTGCCGGCTTCCAAGAAGCTGACTCTGCACACTTGTCCTGAGGTCCTGATCCTCGTACTGAAACGGTTCTCAGACATGACTGGTGACAAGAATGCTAAGCATGTGAACTATCCAGAGAGTCTGGACTTGAGTAGATGCATTTCTGGGCAGGCCACAGGAGCAGCTGTTTACAGACTCTATGCAGTTCTGGTCCATGTGGGCTTGACTTGCCACACAGGCCATTACCTCTCCTATGTCAAAACAGGAAATGGCAAGTGGTATAAAATGGATGATGCCAAGTTAGTGGCATGTGACATGACTTCTGCCCTGAACCAACAAGCCTATGTGTTGTTTTACATCCAGCAGTGGGATTTGGTCAGAGACCATGGGACTGTGCCAAGTGAAGGGGGAGCAAGGGACCCTGAAATAAAGGACAGAGACCTGGGCACAAGCCTAGACATGCCTGAAGGAGATGCCACCATGGAAATTCCAGTGTGGCAGGAGGAGCACCTGGAAGACACAGCCACTGAACCAATGACCTTAGATGAGTGGAAAATGCTCCAAGCACAAGAGCGACCAAAGGCTGACTTCAAGCTTAGGGTGATTGAGACCGCCCTGCCCTCCAATGCAGTTGTGATTCACAAGTCGAAACCCTTGAGCAGGGTGGGAAAGGAGCACCATCAGCAGGAAGTCCACCAGCTGAAGGATCCGGCCAGGGACATCCCTGCTCAGGTGGCCATCAACTTTGGCAGTGTCCTTTGCCCTGGGAGGGGTACCAGAGGTAGCAAGAGCAAGAAAAAAGGCAAGGGTCCCAGGCAGCTCCATCCATTCCAGAAAGATTCATAGCAAGTATCTCTAGGGCATAAAGTCTTCCTGGAATACAGCCCCCAGCATGCCCAAAGGTCATGCCCTCTTCCTGAGTGAATGGAGATCTCGCCTCACTGATGCCAGGAAATGTGTATCCATGTGAAAGTGAGTGTATACATAGGAAACATTCTGGGTGGTGAGAAATTCCTTCAGCTTTACCCAGCTCACAGAATGTTGTGGGTCTTCTCATGTCATGATGAGGTTAAGAGGACAACATTGGGTGCTTCACATGTCCTGTTTCTCTTTTGTATGGTCTGCAGACACAAGCTCTCACAGAGAAATGTGCAACATTGTCCCCTGAATGGGCTCGGAAAGTCAGTATTGGGCACATATGCTTAGGTATAAATACATATTTCTAATCACCTTGATTGTCCTCATATTGAAGACTGATAAATGTCAGAGGATTTGTCAAACTTTGTAGCCAGCAGTTTACTGTATGTCTGTCAATCCAGGGTTTGTCAGCCCCTGCAGCTAAGTGACTTAGGAGAAATCTGCAACCTGACATTTGACCCAGGGATGTGGGACTTGCCATTCTCTACAACCTCATGAGCCATTTCCTTGAGATAAATATCTCTAATATCTTTATGAGCTTCACTGGTCTTGCTTCTCTAGAGACCAGCCTAAGACAGTGAATAAGTATGGAAAATCACAATAAAATCATGCTGTGAAAAAAATAAGGCTCTGGTTGTAATGGAAGGTGGAGGACTGGAGTGGTAGGGATATGCCACACAGCAGTATTCTCTTGAACGTGTTAAAGATGATATTAACTACCCTATGAAAATCAGAAGGTTGTTTTATATTTTAATTTTTTTGCTGGGGACAAAGAAAGTTTACTTAACTATCAAACTGTATTACATAATTTGATTGACTTTCATTCAGAATTGAAGCTTGCATTTGAGTGAATTCAGGGTTTCTTTTTGTAATTTTCTTTTTTTTTGGGGGGGGGTCCTAATACCTGTAAATATTTATTAGCAAAGACAATTGTAAGAAATATAAGCCTTTATTAAAATCTATAAATAAAGTAGAAGTTTTATTTTATTAAAAATACATAGATTGTGCTGTGGTTTTCTGTACAGTTTTTTAAGAGTCTCTCATCTTGCATTACACCACCTAGGGCACTGGATCTCAAATCCCTTCTCACACTGACATCATCTGTGAGGGTTAGAACATCATGACACGTGGGTCCCATCACAACAGACTCCCATTCATTTGTTCCTGGATGTGGCCTAGACAATGTTTTTAGAAGTTTCCAAAAGGCATCAACATTTGACATTTGTAAGAAATGTCCTTAAGAGAACCAGAGTTTCTGCAGTAGCCCCTGTTCTATGACCTTTGTTAATAAGGGGCGCCCTTTCAGCTTTGCACAACCCTCTTGGGCGTGTATGCTGCCCTGGGACCATGCAAGCCTCCCCACTGCCAGCCTCTCTACTGCTAACTGGCCAAGCACACACCCAGTGCAATGATTTGTTCAGCTCTCGCAGCTGCTTTCCAGGCAGTGGCTTTCTGCCACCAGCACTGACTCTGCCCCCATAGCCCTTCTGGGCTCCCTGCCGTCCTCAGTGTTACAGCCACTCACCTGTGTTACAGCTATTTCAGAAAGCTCCTTGCTTCCTCCGGCTCTGCTGCTTCTCTCTGGAACCTTCTCATTTCACCACCCCAACAGAGGTGAGATATTAAGTGACTTTTGCTTCTCCATACACTTTCTGTTGCTGTTGTTATGTGCCGTTAAGTCAGATCTGATTCATAGCGACCTCTCCTTGGGTTTCTGAGGCAGTATCACTACGGAAGTAGATTGCCCCATGCACTTTCTAGTTAGTCAAATTGTCTAAAATGACAGCATACTGCTTTATAGTGTTAAAAAATACTGTTAAGCTTAAGATAGTTGATAAAAGAATATACACTTCAAGACACCCATGTGTTGGCAAGACTTTATATAAAGGAACAAAAGTTTACACAATGCTTATTAATGTCATATCAGAAAATAAAAGGTGGAAACTAGTGAACATAGGGATAAGACAGTGGGGAATTCCATTTCTAACATTGCAAGATTTTGCCACTGATATGAATTTCCTTGTGCACAAAAAAGATAATGAACATAAATATCCTCACAAAGGAAAAGATGTTGTGATTGTAAGGAGTGTCAGAACACATTCAGTTATTTTCATCCATCATTGAATACATGAAACATTATCCTGGAGAGAAACATCATGACTATATTCAATGTGGGAAATTCTTTACTGAATCTTCAGTTCTCAATAACCATATCACTATTACCAGCTGAGAGAGGCTCTATAAATGTAGGGAATGTGGAAAAGCCCTCAGATGTCCCTCATTGTTTGAAACTCTTCTTAGAAGGATACTGTACAGAAACAATGTATGTTTAAGTAAAGTTGGATACCTTTCCTTATTTTTTTCATCTACCTGAAAGAAAATCCATGGCAGAGAATTAATATAACTGTAGGAATGTGGGAAAGTTTTTGTTTTCCTCTTCATATTTTCAAAGGCAATCTAATTTATGCATGGTGGAAAGCCTTCCCTAATTAATCCCACTGAAGATGTGAGTGAACACACTAGAGAGACATCATATAAAGTTCATGTTCCTGGGGGAATCCAGAAGTCTTTTTCAATGCTTAGAAACCTGTAAGATATTACACTTCATTGCTTCTATGAATGTGGAAGATGATGGAAGCCTTCAATGTTCCTACTCCTTCAGGGCCCCTATGAGGCCTCACACCCTGGAGACACTCTCTGACCCTAAGCATTTTGCAAAAGCCTTCATTATCTTTTTTGTGCACAAGGAAATTCATACCAGGGGAAAGGCTACATGCAGGGTCCAAACATGCCATAGGCTAGAGACCATCCCCAAAGCTTCTCCTTATATACAGGAAGCAGACCACATCCCAAAGGCAGCTACTCAACTGCTTGTGGTAGATCCCAGCATGGAGCTGACTGCCAGTCTCATCACGGGGAGTAACTACCACCGCTGCTCAGCCACTCAACCAGGCCCAGCCAAGTTGACACACAAATATAACTACCACAACCTGTATAAAGAAAACTGTAAAGGACCACTTCAAGAAATCATAAGAGATCTATATAAATAGAAGAACATACCATGCTCACGGATGGTGTGGTAGTTATGTTACGTGTCAACTTGGCTGGGCCTGGGTGAGTGGCTGGGCAGCTGGTGGTAGTTACTCCCCATGATGAGACTGGCAATCAGCTCCATGGTGGGATCTACCACAAGCAGCTGAGTAGCTGCCTTTGGGAAGTGGTCTGCTTCCTGCGTATAAGGAGAAGCCTTGGGAATGGTCTCTAGCCTATGGCACGCTTGGACCCTGCATGTAGCCGTGTCGTCGTTCAGCAGGCTGCTATGCTCTGCCGACCTCGGGACTTACAATGGACTTTAGTGGTAACATTGGGACTGTGCCTTTTTACTTGTCAACCTTGGGCTTCTCAGCCTCAGCAGCCAGCAGCTGTCTGAGTGAAGAAACGCCTCTAGCTCCAGTGGGTTTTACCCAGCCCCTAGGGCCTGGAACTTTGAACTTGGACTTAAAGTCTCCTGGACTGTAAGAGAATAAACTCTTTTTGTTAAGGTCATCCCATTTGGGGTATATTTCTTGTCAGAGTGGCACTAGGTAACCAGAACAGATGGGAAGATTGAACATTGTGAAAATGTCATTTCTATCCAAAGCAGTCTATACATTTGATGCAATCCCAATCCAGATCCCATCAACATTCTTTAAGGATGTGGAAAAACCAGTCACTAACTTTATATGGAAAGGAAAGAGACCTCAGATAAGCAAGCACTATTGAAGAAGAACAAAGTAGGAGGTCTCACACTGCCAGACCTCAAAACCTACTCTATAGCCACAGTAGTTAAAACAGCCTAGTACTGGTACAATGACAGACACACAGACCAATGGAATATAATTGAGAACCCAGAAACAGATCCATCGACCTATGGTCAGTTGATCTTTGACAAAGGGCTGAAATCCATTAAATGAGGAAGAGATAGTCTATTAACAAATGGTGGTGGTAAAACTGGATACCCATTTGCAGAAAAACGAAACAAGATCTGTATCTCACACCATACACAAAAACGAACTCCAGATGGATCAAAGACTTAAAGGCATAAACCTAAAACTATAAAATTCCTTAAGGAAAACATTGGGACAAATTTAGGGGCCCTTATATATGGCTTAAGTAGTCTATCATGCATAACCTCAAATTCATGAACAGCAGAAGATAAAATAGATGAATAGTACCTTCTAGAAATTAAATCTTTATGTGCCTCAAAGGACTTCTCGAAAAGAGTCAAAAGAGAACCTACCGATTGGGAAAAATATTCGGCAATGACATACCTGACAAGAGACTTACGTCTAAAATTTATAGTAAACTCCCACACCTCAATACTAAAAAGACAAACAATCACATTATACAATGGGCAGAGGACATGGATAGACACTTCACCAAAGAGGATATTCAGGCAGTCGACAAACATACGAAGAAATGATCACAATCATTAGCCATCAGAGAGATGCAAATCAAAACAATTATGAGATACCATTTGCCCAAGCACTAGTAGCAATGCTCAATAAGACAGAAAATAACAAATACTGGTGAGGATGTGGAGATACTGGGACTCTCATACACTGCTGGCATGACTGTCAGATGACACAACCACTGTGGAAAGCAGTATGTTGGTGATTCCTTAAAAAAAGTTGGAATTACAAATACCATTTGACCCAGCCACTCCATTACTAGGTATATATCCTAAAGAAGTGAGAGCCAGGACAAGAACAGATATACACACACCCATGTTCATCACAGCACTATATACAATAGCCAAAACATGGAAACAACCAAGGTGCCCATCAACAGAAGAATGGATAACCAAACTATGGTATGTACACACAACGGAATACTATGCAACCCTGAAGAATAACACAGAATCTACAGAACATCCCATAATGTGGATG